CAGAGGCAGTTAGAAAATACAAGAGGAAACGATGAAGGGCCTTCTTTCTGCGGTGGAAGGTCTTCGTCTGAGAGAAATGGAGGCAAGTCCTTTCTCTTATCATAAGAGTTTATATATCTATGTCTACCCTATTTATATATACAGCCACAAAAAACACAAACACGTGTGCGTGCGTGTGTATATGTGTGTGTGTATGTATATATATATTATATAGATAGGTAGATATATATGTATACATATATGTATATATATACATAATTGTTTGTATTTATGTAATTATATATATTTATATTAATATAAGTATATATATATATATACAAATGTAAATATACATTTATATATCTGCATATTTTAACACCCAAACACACAGTCATTCACTCACAATCATATATATATATATATATATAGTCATATATATACATACATATATACGCACACACATATATATAGAGAGTGATAGAGAAAGAGAGAAAGAGATGTATGCATGTATATATGTATATACACACAAATATTTATATAAATATATATACATATATGTGTGTATGTTATATATATGTATATATATGTATATATATATATATATATATATATATATATATATATGTATGTGTATGTATGCATGGTTATGTATACATAGTATACATATATACATCTACATATAAATATTTATACACATATATGCGTGTGTATAATATATGCATATATATGTATATATGTGTGTGTATATACATATATATGTGTATATATAAATATATGAACACCTATACATATGAGTATGTATATGTATGTATGTATGTATAGGTATATACACATGTGCATGTGTATATGCATACATGCATACATACATGTGTGTGTGTGCGTGCGTGCGTTTGTCTGTCTGTGTGCATGTGTTCGTAAGCACTCGAGTGAAGAGAATTCCGTCCACGATAGAGTGTGGGAAATCCTTCCAATGTGTTGCTAACGCGCTTCTTCTCCTGCCGGACCTGCAGCCGCCACGTGAGCCTGAGCCGACGGCCGCCGGCCAGCCCTCGGCCTCAGGCAGGAGGAGGAGGCCCCGGGGAGCAGCTGGCAGCGACGAGACTCCGCCAGCAGCTGCCACGGAGGGGGCTAGGGGAGCGGCAGGCGGGAGAGACAAGCCTCGGCAAGCAGCTGGCAGCAGAGGCAAGGCTAGGAGAGCACCAGAGAGCGACGAGCCTGTGCAAGCCGCAGGCAGGGCTGAGCGTCCGGAAGCAGCAGGCAGGAGGGAAGGGGCAGGGCGAAAGGCAGTCAGTAGGGCACCCGAGAGGGACGAGTCGCAACAAGACGAGAGGGACGAGTCGCCACAAGACGACAGCGACGAGTCGCCACAAGAAGACGACAGCGAAGAGTCGCATTAAAAAAATTTACTTTTGGGGGATTATTTGTTAATTTAGGGTATTCGGTTTGTAAAGTCTTTTTTATCCATTACTTTCTAGATGGCGTCTTAGCCATTTTGATTTTTTTTTTTTTTTTTTTTTTTATATCTCGTTTATTTAGTTTTTATTTTTGCTTTGGTATTTTTAATGTTTCTTATGTATTTTGTATTTCCATTTTAATTCTACATTTTATTACTTTTAGAATAGTTAGTTTTTAGGTCTGGGAATTTTATCAGAGCAAAATCTGCAAATTTTTACTTCCTTACAAATTTGGGGCACCCGCGAGAGAACCGTCGGCTAGGAAATGGGCGGGGTCAAAGTGATCTAGCCACCTTAGGTGGTGACGGTCTGGGTCTTCGGCTCGAGGGGTGATGGGGCAAGGATGCCGGAGAGACGGGTTTCAGCTGTCGCGTAAGTGGTCGGGTACGCGCAGTGGTAGACAGTCGTAGTGGGCGGCTGGCAGTTTTAAAACCATCACTAGAAATCCCGGTGGCCTCTTTCATTTTATATTGTTCCCTTCATCTATGTTATATTGTTCCTTATTGTCATTTTGTGCTTTTAAAGTAATTTCAATTTTTATTTCTAGGCTGAAGTAACCCCCCCAGGGTTCCACCATTTACCATTTTACTGTTTTTGATTTTTTAAAATATATTCTCTGATCTGAAACCCCTTTAAAAGTTTCTTATGATTTTTCTCACCAAAGTGATTATTATTAGAATATTCTCAATAAATTTTAACCCGCGTAACTTCGAATCATGTTATCGGAACTCGTGTTAACGGTGAGTGCTGTATAGATATATATATATATATATATATATATATATATATATATATATATAAATGTCTTGATATATTACCATATCTTGTTTATATACATCATCTATATACATATGTATATATATACCCATATATATTACTATATATATATCTATATAGAGCATCTATATCTATTATATATTATATATATATATATATATATATATATGTGATGTATGTATATATATATGTGGTTTTGTGTGTGGTGCATAAATATAAACATATATATATATATATATATATATATAAGATATTATATATATCTATATACATATATATATATATCTATATAATATTGTGTGTGTGTTGTCTATATATATTTTATTATATATAATATATATATATATATATATATATTATATATATATACATATCTATATATATTACATATATATATAAACATATATATACTCTTTAAATATATATATATATAGATATATTTTTAAATTTGTGTATCATTTGTGCATGTGCGTGCATGTGTGGTGCATCTATTATGCGTGTTCCATAGTTGTGTCTGTGAAGCTATTTATGCCATGCGGCGTGTACAGAGTGTGTGCATTTTTATGCATGTGGTTGTTACATGCGTGTGTGATCATTATGCATGTACGTGTACATGAGTGTGTGTACATCTATTTATGCATGTGCGTGTACATATGTGCGTCTGCGTTTGCGGTATGTGTGGGTTATATATGAGTACATGGTAATGTGTGTACAATGTGAGCTATATTATGTGTATGAGTGCTGAATGTGTTTATGTACGTGTGTTTTGATGTGTTAGATGTAGTATGCCTATTTGTTTGTATGTATCATGTATTGCTGCCATATATGTGAATGCGTGGTGCCCGTTTAAGTGGTGTATGTCAGGTGTTATTTTTTGTCTGCATGCTGTCACCTCTATCTCCTTCTCCCCCTTTTTCCCTGTCCCTCCATTTAATCCCCCTCTTTTTCTAGCGGCAAAGGGACGGGAGAGGGGCAGCGCAAACAAGGACGCACAGCGAGAGGCGGGCGCATGGAGGGAGAGAGCGGGGGGGGAGGGGAACCAAGAGTAGGGATGGGGAGAAAGAGGGAAATAGAACGCAGAGGAGAGAGGGAAGGGAAAGGGAGGGAGAGCAGGGGGGCCGAGCTGCGTGACAGGGCAGGAACTATCGACCTTGGACCCGCGCGCGCCCGGGGACTGACAGGTCGCTCGCAAGCGGGTCCATCTATATATAAAGGTACTTCACTTTTTCTCCTCCTTCCTTCTCGATCTGTTCTTTACACTTCTCTCTCTCCGCCTTTGTACATCTATCTATCTCTTTAGCTCTCTACAATCTATTTATCTGTACTTTTTAGTTATCTATTTACTTCTCCCTCTCTTCCCATCTCGGCACTCGCAGGAAGAGCCGAGGAAGGCGGAGAGGAGGAGGAGGATAGAAAAAGAGGGGCGGATGGTTTTAGGAAAAAAGGACAAGGAAGAGGAAAAACTACGAGGAAGAAAGGAGCGGAAATGAAGGAAGAGAATGAAGAGATGGAAGAGAGGAAGAGTAGTAAATAAACGAAGAGGACGAGGAGCGAGAAGGGGGCGGAAATAAAGGACGAAGCGGACGCTGAATGAAAGAAGAGGAATCGAAGGAATCCGTGAACTTAGCGCTGATGCCTCTGGCCTCCGCCCACCTCTCGTGCTAAAGCCACAACCCCCAAACGGCACTTTAAGCTCCGCCCCCACGTAGGTCTCGCCAATGGAGGGGGGAGGGGAGGTGGTTAAATGGTTATGGTTAAAGCAAGTAATGTGGCGAGACATCTAAGTCATGTAGCACTATAGTTAATGTTAGTGAGGGTGGTTGAAGTTAGTGATTAGTTTGTCTTTAAAGCTGGGCAATAGGATTGGTGAGTCCAAGGGTTAGGTCGGGTGTTAAGATTAGATAAATGGATATGTATGGCTTTTGAGGAAGAGAACAGGTTGTTTGATTCAGAAGTGTGGGGATTCTGTAAGCATGTCTGATACGTTGGGAGTCGGTGATAGGGAGGATAGTGGGGAAGCAAGGTAACGGCTGCTTCAAACGTGGGCCCGACATTAGGGTGTGTACGATTGAAAGGGGAACATTAACATAAGGACATAGGGGGGGATCAGATAGGAGTGTGTTTAACGGGTTTGGCCAATGCGCTCAGCGGGCGAGAGCGCTCTCACAACGTCTGTTCGATGAAATGGAGCTGACCAGGAGATTGATAGTTTTACCTGAATGTAATTTAATTGTGTGGAGGCTTGACCAAAAGATTGCCGATCGCTTATACAAGAGGTCTTAAAGTGTGGAATACTCCTTGCTGGGATATTGAGAAGCGTGGTTTGGTATGATTGACATAGCAGCGTGGCGTGCTAGTGTATCTTCCTTGTTCATTTGCCAGGGTTCCAAATGGGTTGGCACCCAGCAAAATTTTGATTGTTTTATGCGTGTGACAGGTAGCAACAACCAGTTCTGGATCTTACAAACAAGGGGGTTTGTGCTGTGTATTGACTTTATGAGAGTTAATGAGCTACGGCAGTCAGTAAAAAATTGTAAAAGAGGAAGAGGAGAGTGTTATATTGTTTTTTAGGGCAAAAGGAGTGCAACAGTTCTGTAGTAAGTACAAACGGATTCAATGAGGAAAGGGAGAATTTGAAATTACGAGTTGGGAATATTACTGCAAAAACCAGCACCAGAGGTGGATTTGGAGCCATCAGTATATACGTGTATCCTAGCTGATGGGTGGAGACATGGGTCCAGAGAAATGGATGAGAAGGCCAGTAGGAGGATAATTTGATTTTGGTGGGTCGGGGAAAACAGAAGATAAATATGGGGGTGAGGTATAATCCATGTAAGGGACGGAATGGACAGAAACGGGAGATGTTGAGATGGGGGGAAAAGGGGAATGGGCGAGGAGGTTCCTGTGAGCTACGGATCAGTAAAAATTGTAAAAGAGGAAAAGGAATGAGTATATGTGTTTTAGGGCAAAAGGAGTGCATACAGTTCTGTCAGTAGGACCTGGATTCATGAGGAAGGGAGAATTTGGAAATTACGAGTTGGGAATTTACTGCAAAACCACACAGAAGTGGATTTGGATCCATCAGTATATACTGTGTATATAGAGAAGGTTGGAGACATGGTCAGTGAATGGATGAAGATGACAGTAGAGGAATATTTGATTTTGGTGGGTCGGGGAAAACAGAAGATCAAATATTGGGGGGTATGTATACACCATTTAGGGGGGGGACGGAATGTACAGAGAAACGGGCAGTTTGGAGATGGGGGGAAAAGGGGAATGGAGAGGAGGGTATCCATGTGGCTACGGAGTCAGTAAAATTGTAAAAGAGAAGAGAGAGTGAGTATTATGTGTTTTAGGGCAAAAGGAGTGCATACAGTTCTGTAGTAATGACACTGTGATTCATGATGAAGGAGAATTTAAATTACAGTTGGAAATTACTGCAAAAACCAGCCCAGAGGTGGTTTTGGAGCCTCAGTATATACGTTGTATACTATAGGAATGGGTGTAGACATGGTCAAGGAAATGGATGCGAAGGACTAGTAGAGGAGGAATATTTGATTGGGGTGGGTCGGGGAAAACAAGAAGAGCAAATATGGGGGTGAGGTATAAGCCATGTTAGGGACGGAATGGACAGAGAAGGGATGAGGGTGGGAGGATGGGGGAAAGGGGAATGGGCGAGGAGGGTATCCATGTGAGCTACGGGAGTCAGTAAAATTGTTAAAAAATAAAAGAGGAAAAGGCGAGTGAGTATAGTGTTTTTTAGGGCAAAAAGGAGGGCATAAAGTTTTTCTGTAGTAAGGACACTTGGATTCAGGAGGAGGGAGAATTTGAATGAAATTACGAGTTGGGAATATTTACTGCAAAAACAGACCATGAGGTGGATTTGGAAGCCATCATTATATAAGTGTATACTAGCGGAATGGGTGGAGACATGGTCAAGGGGAATGGATTGAGAAGGACAGTAGGAGGGATATTTGATTTTGGTGGCGTCGGGGAAAACAGACGAGCAAATATGGGGGTGAGGGTAATAAGACATGTAGGGAACGGAATGGACAGAGAAGGGGAGAGGTTTTGGGGAGATGGGGGAAGGGGAGGGAAAGGGGAATGGAGAGGAGGGGATCCATGTGAGCTACGGGAGTCAGTAAGTAAAAATTGTTTCTTATAAA